CGCCCCGCCCCCCCGGCCGCGTGCCCGCGCGCGCGCCCCCCGCGCCGTGACCCATTTCGCCGAACAAAGGATTCGCGCTGGAATCTCGCTCAGCGCCGGGACCTAAAATGGCGCCGGCGCGCCCGCCCCCGCCCCTTCCGCGGGCGCCATAGAGACGGGGCGGGCGGAGCGGCCTCCCCTCGGCGGCGCTCTGTACGCGGGCGCAGCCCCGGCTCGCTGGTGCGGGCGGGAAGGCGCTGCCGCGGCATGGCGGGCGAGGGCGACTCTGAGTCGGGGAAGGTAATGGAGGGCGGGGGGGGGCGGCGAGGGGCGAGGAGGAGGAGGAGGAGGATGAGAAAAGATTAGATCGTGAGGAGGAGGAGGAGGAAGAGGATGAGGAGGAGCTGCGCGGCACGCGGCTGCCCGCGGCCGCCCCGCGCTGGGGACACGGGAGGTCATTGCAGAGCAGCAGTGACCGTCCCGCCACCGCCCCGGCCCGCTGTTCCTCCGCCCGAGGAAATAGCTCGGGAACAATACACGGAAAGCCACGGCGGAACGGAGGCTCTGCGGGGCCCGGCGGGCGGGGCCGTGCTGGCTGGGCTGCCCCGGGCCTTTCTCTCGGCGGGTGAAACGCCGTGGTGAGAGTGGAGGGTTTGTGAGGCCGGTGGTCAGCAGTGCTCAGACATAACAAATGATGCTCAGCCTGGCAACAGGTGAGACGCTATTTTAAAAGGATGCATCACGCTGCAGGGATGTAGCAGGGGTACCTTCTTAGCCAACAACAGCAAGATATCGAGTGACTTCTTCCATATGAGAGCAATTGAAATTACTCATTAGGGGGTTCGACCAACATAGAGCACATCCTTTCTGTCTTGCTTGTACACAGGGACAGCTGATAGCTGTCCCTAGGGAGCAAGGATAAAACTAACGCTGGGGCTTTCCATGCTTGCCATCCCCATTACCACAGTGACACAATGACTTCTCTCATAGAGCTGTCAGCCCTCCACAAGCAGTTGAATACTGTAGTACTCCCTCTTTAAAATCTACTTTGCCAAGTGGAATACCTTCGCAACTGAATAAAACAATTCACCTTTGATGAATTTTGCTACAGTTGCACACGTGATTCGTCATGCTCTCATGATTTAAGCGCAATAGACTGAAACGTATTCTCACACCATCCCTGACCTAAGGATTGACAGCAGAAAAATGTGCAGGTGTTACTGAGGGGCAGCTGCCTTGGCCCTGACCCATGTGTCCAGCCCCTGCCTAGACAGAGGGTTAGGTCATAAATTAGTCTTTTGTAAATCTTTTTATTCATTATTGAGTGTAAGGTTCTCTACTACATGCTCATTCTCCAGTAACTAACTTTTTTCAAGCACATATGCTTGCTTCAGGTGCTAAAATTACATGGCATGACCAACTGCGTACTTGATTGTAACCTTCCTTGTTTGTTGTGATGTAACAAAAATCCTGGATTCTTAAGGGTCTTCTCCCTTCCTTTTTGGGGGAATGTAAAGGTAAAAAATGAAGTAGTTCATTTGTAATATTCAGTGGAAAGGATGTATCAACGGTTTTGTGCAAAACTATATTATATAAATTTATAGTTAAGTCTTCCAAAAACATCCCTGATATATCTGTACCTCTTCACTTTTGGTCGTCTCTAACCCTGGATGCAGTACGTTCTCAACTGGTTATGCTGGACTATTAAGATAACAAGTCAGTTTTACAGTTGAGTTGGCATCATAGACTTCTACAGAAGTGATTTTTTTAATTTATGGTTGGTTTTTTTTTTATTTTGTTTTGTCTTACAGTCCTTTAAACTCCTGGGATTTCTCGATGTTAAAAATGTTCCATGTGCACGAGAGTCAGTGCTCTATGGCTCCTTGGGGGCTTTAGTTATGGGTCTTGGACATTTTTTAGCAACTAGTAAGTATTTATTCCTTTTGGGTTTTATATATTTATTTGCTAGCAAAAAAAACCTATTTGCGTTTAGGTGTTATTAATAATGGGAAGTCATACAAGTTGTTTTCTCTAACTTTTCAGACGATTTTTTGTTTTTCTTTCAGGCAGAGTCAGAAGATCTTGTGATGTTGCAGTTGGTAGCTATATTTCCACAATGTTAGGATACTGGTATGTAAAATGCTTCTTCAGTTTTGACTGGCCTGTGTTGGCTGAATTGTACAACAGGATCCCCTGTGTTTCAGTTTTCAGAAACAGTGTTTCATGTTGGTTTTGAAACCACATTAAAAAACCTGCCTAGCAAAGCATCCTCTTCCTTCTCCCCAAAATACTTCTTTAAAGGAAAACATTTCACTGTGTTTGAATGTTTATGTTTATATATATATATTTTAAATACTTCCTATTGTTTCTTGAATCCTAAACTATCAACTCCCCCACTTTCTATTTTTCTTAATTATTTTTCCTTTTCATACCCCATCCTTGTGTCCTAATTCCAAAGGCAGCATGCTTAATTTTACTAGCATTATCCCATGTGCTTGCAACTTTTCAGCTGCCTGAATGACTCTGGTTTGATACTGCCACTACTATAAAGCAGGGAATTGTGTTTCCTTTTCATCCCCTCCTCTAGGTTTTACTGCAGGTACACCTTGGCCCAGCAAAGGATCCGGCAAAGAATGCTTAAAGAAGGAATCAAAAACAGAATTTTATTTGAAGGCAGTTATCTTGATCCAGAAAACAAACAAACTGGCAGTGAAAGAAGTGATTCATAGGTTGCTCCGGAAGAGTTGTGGTTTAATACATTTTTGGGAAAAGGTGGTCCAAAAAAAAGTCAGTCTACACTGCAAGCCTGTGAGGTGTCTAAAACTGGTAAATCATGGTTTTCCTAGCAAACCTGAGCAGGAAATTCATAGTGAATCTGTTAAGTCGGTACAAGCCTTGCTTTGTTTCATGTATGTATGTATGTGACTGCACACATTTGGAATGACGTCCTGTTAATCATCTGGGAGCTGGTGCGTTCTCTTCAGGGTCTCAGAGGATTGACAACAGTGATTTGGGACTGCTTTAACTTCCATTATAAACAGAGTGTGGTTTGTTTTAGCAAAGTTGTAATTACATCTCGTTTAAATAGAGGAAAATATTTTCATCACCTGTTGAGTAAATGCTATTATTAACAGTGCTGTTTGTGAAACAGGAATATTTGAACAGTAGGAGAAGGCTTTGCTTGTGCAAAGTGGGTGATAGTCAGCAGCCTTTGTAAGATTTCAGCTGCAGGATAACCAGATAACTTACATACATTGTGAAGCTGAAGGTTTTCCATCTTTGTTCTGTTTCAAACTATGAATAAAATCACACTTCAGAGCAGTCTAAACTATGTAAGTAAATAATTTTTTACTTCATTTAAAATCCTGCTACTTAAGACACTTCCTTACTATTTGTGGAATCATAATCTACATTATATTTGTAAGTAGCAATGTTTGTTTTATCTTTCATTTTTTTTTTCTTTAAAGGCATGTTCTACAGTGATTTTTCAGTTAAAAGAAGTATCAGTAGATAATGTCAAGGAAACCATCTTATTTGGAAATACAGTGTTAGGTCTAATAGCGTATTGGTAAAAAGATGAGTGATGGCATCACTCGCTTGCTTCTGCCTGCACGAGTGACACAATGTTTTTATTTTTTCATGTAATGATTTATGGTCTGTTATGCTGTAAGCACTTTGTGGTCTAAAGTCATGTCACCAAGCAAAAATAGTCCTTTTCCCCCACCCTGTACTTACTCTGAGAGAGTTTGTGATCTGTTGTTAACTCATGTTGGTGCAGGGAGGTTTGAAAATCCAGATGTTAACAGCAGTACTGCTCCACTTATTTATTTGGAAATATATTTGAGAGCACTGAACAAACATGCTATTTACACTGAGAAAATTAAACTTCTACCCTCTGTGGATTAGCTTCTTATAAGAAGAAAACAAACCTATATACTCTGATTCCTTTTTGCCCCTCTATTCCTCATGTTTGTTCTGAAGGAAACAAAGATACATTTTATTGAGGACATTGACTTACATATTTTATATAAAAAGTCTTCAGAAGAATTAATGCAATGAAACACTTACTGTCCTCACTGCAAAATCCAAACTGAGAAGTTAATTGGTAGGTAATTCAGAAGAGAAGAATGTTTCCCCTGGTTCTGTGCTGGGTGGGGGGCCAAAGGGATGCAGGAGGCTTCTCCTTGGGGTGGAAGCTGTTGCTTCGTAAAGCCCTTGGAGCAGCAGTGGGAAACTGAGTGAGCCATGAAGCTGGTCTTAACAAGCTCCTGTTTTAATACATGGTTGAGTTCTTTCCTATCTGAGCTAAGAAAAGAAAGTGCAACCTAAGCAGGGGGTCTTTTGGCTGCAAGGTCATAGGTCAGCTGGGGGGTTTAGGCAACAAAAGCACAGGGATGAAAATTCACTCTTTGGCAGAGAGCAGTTGTAGAGAGAGAAGTGAAGGGTGTTTTGTGCTGATGGGAAAGAAGTTAGCATGTGCATGATGGCATCCTTCAAAACGCAAATACTGCGACTGGTGAGAAAGAAGCAACATTATGATACTGTGTAAGTCAAAAAAATCTGGGGAAAATTTGCAGCATTAAATCCTCTCTGGTGTTAATTGGTGTTGGTATAATTTACTGTGTTTAAGGATATTAGCCCAATAGCAGCTTAACCACGGTTTTAGCAGTAACTGTGAAATGCTAGATGTATCTGCATTGCGTAGATAACTCATCTAATACTTCTGCTTCACTGTGCAGAGTGTAAAATGAGCATGCCAGATGTTCACAAAAAAGCTGGGGAAGAGGCAATGTGCAGGCAGCCTGGCCAGCACATTGGAGCTTCAGTGTTTCAGTAAAACTCGAGATGGAATTAACTGAAAGTCAGGCCTTTGCCTAATAGGGCAGGGATATAAGACAAGGAAGAGGTGAGCAGGACTCCATTAGTGTGAAAGGGATGCCTGCAACAGCAGAGGGAAGAATGCTCATGGTCAAACATGCAGGAGAAAAAGTCTGGCATAATTCCTCGAAGTGTTGGTTCCAGCTGCTTCCGTGCCAGCTATGGAGAGTGAATGGAAAGTGACTGATGGGTTAGCCCAATTAAAGAGTGAGAGACAGGATAAAACAAAAATATCTCAAAGCTATTAGTTGTCATAAATTAGGATACATTGACAAGAAAACAAAAATTTCTGTTATTTAAGTAATTCTGACATTTGAAAACAATGACAACTATTTTTAAAAATAGTTATTTATCTCTTACTGTTAATTTCACAAATCTTAAGTCATTGGTGGAAATGCGCACCACGCCTCTGTATTTAGTATCAGACTTGAAATGTAAAAGAATTGCAGCTCATGACAGATATGATAGTGTTTGCTTTGCTTTGTCTAAATTAAAACTTACCAGTTACTAGGATGGAAAAGAAAAAGTAATTTTAAAGATGTTTGGTTTTCAGCCCCCTCAGAATAAATCATAAAAAGGGAGAGAATGAAGTATAGCAACTTGAAACTGTATGTTATTAAAACCCTGTTTATTTTACCGACAGTTAAGTTGCTTGGTCACTGAGCAGTGACTGACAAGCAGTTTTTATCCCTGAAGTTAGGGAAATCCTTCCTTAAAGCAGCCTAAACCACCAGCAAAATAGAGAGATGGGTTTATGGCCCCTTTGCTCCGCCACACCTTTCTCTTCCTGTTCCCCGCAGTAACGATTCTCTGGGAAAAGGCGTTTGCAGCCTCCTCCAGCAGGAGTGCACACTTGGGACTCCAGCAGTGGCCAGAGGCCACTTGTGCAAGGTGTGTCCTCCAGGTCCTTCGGGAAGGGAAGTCACTGTGGGAGGCACCAGGCTGAAACCTGGAGATCGAAGGTTAATTGCCAGCCCGGTTCCCAGAGCTGCGTGTGATCATGTGCCTTCAGTGCCTCTCACAGGTGCAAATGTCCTTCTTCAGCCATTGAGAGGCTCAAAACTTTTCTAAAGGTGACAGCACAGGCAATTACAGCTGCCATCCCAAACTTTTCATTTATCTTTTTATCCAAGCAGAGATTTTATGGAGATCTGGGCCCTCTCTGCATTTTGCAGGCTTCCAGATTCTTTGTGTGTCACCGCCCACCCCGAGTCCTTGAGTGCCGCAAAGGAAAGGTCATCTCCTGTCGCTGAGCCTGGCTTTTGGTAGGTTTTTTTATTTGGGTCTGGAGGAAGTACGTTTGTTATTTCTGGTATAAGCAATCCAGGTAACAATGAAGTACTGTGTGAATTCAGCTGTAATGAGCTCCCAAGCAAAATATTTTCTCCAGCTTAGTAGACTAATTCCCATACTTCTCTTGTTCCTATCCAGACATTTAGCTCAAGAGCTTGGTGGTTACCAATGAAAGTTGTTTGCTTGCTCCATTTAACTCTTGAAACAAATATGTTGTTCTTGCCTTGGAAAACTGATCAAAACAAAGTTTTACAGTAAATTCAGATGCTCAAGGAGATGATCCTTTGATATTTTTTTCCCCCCTGTAAGTGAAGAACCAAGAACTAACTCCATATCAGAAGTGGAACTGAGTTTTAGTCAATGTGAATCAAGGCCTTGGAACAGGTTACTTTCTTACATTTAAAATGAAAATATTACATTAAGCACATACAGCTGCTAAACCTTCAAAGGGTGGTGGAGGAGGAGGGTAACGAGAGGTAGAACCTTGGATGACAGTTTGAGGAAAACACAGACTTTTGTTCATGGGTAACGGCACCCTGACTAAGGGTCGGTTCGCTCTTTTTCACACACTCCTTTGGTTTTTTTCTGCTTGAGTTCATAGTTTGCCTGAGAGCCATCCAGCAGGGGGTCTGCCTGTTCCTTCGGGAATAGGTCACGACATCCTTATGTCTGCTTGTTTTCAAGATTAAGAGCAGTTTGTTCTGAGGCTATTTTAATCCTGCCAGCTTCTGTCATCTGTCATGAGCAAGAGTGCGTCAAAACGCTCAACTCTCCTGAGCATGCCAGGAGCCCTCTGGCAGTACCTAAAATGTACCATGGGAGTGGACAATTAGCACGGCGGGGATCTTTCTCTTTAGACTGGCCACAGCTCCAGCAATACCCAGATTGTATAGAATGGTGATCTGCTTAACAGAAAAAGATTCCCCCTTTTCCTGCTCTGGAGAGAAGGAAGCACATGCTTTGCATGTTTTTTAAACTCCTTGTTTATTTTGTCAGATGCTGTAACAAAGAGCAGCAGGTGTGCTCTCAGCCAGTGTGAATTTTCTCTCTAGACAACAGATCCTCATCTCTCCTATTAATGGCAAATGGCTTGTGATAACTCTGGTGCTCACAGTGTGCTTTTATCCATGACACATCTTGGTCTTCAATCCTGCATATACATGCATGTCAGGTCTTTGGAGTTCACTTACAAGCTTTACAGCTCTAGCTGATATTCATGCTTTCTGTCATCCAGGTCAAGAGTTCTTGCCACCTTTACCTTTGCCAGGTGGCCACAGTGAGAGATCTTTCTCCACCATGTCATCACTGTGACACTGCACAGATGCTGTGGAAACAGGATGAGAGATGCAGCCCACCTGCCATTGCTCTTTGTTATGTTACTTAAGCAATTAAAGGGAAGCTAATACCCCTCCCTTTCAGGAAACGTTCAGGCTCTGGATGAGATAGTGGCAATATCTCTGAAGATGAAAAGCCAGTAGCAGGTTTATTACTGGACTGATAAATTTCCACAAATGGCTGTTGCAGGAGTCCTTCACAGAGCAAATACAGAGAAAAAAAAAAAAAATTCTGACAGCCTGTTCCTCAAAATACAGCGGAAAGTACCCTATTCAGACCCCCCAAAGAAATCTGGAGCTACCAGTGATTGTTCCATGCTGTGCTTATAATGCTTTCATCCAATATTTAAAGCCCTTGAGGGCTGTCCTGAGGCAGCACTGGGAGGCCATGACAGAACTTGTTTGACTCTGTTTTTTAGCTCTGATAGTATCCCAGTGTCATATTCTTCCATTACTGCCTACTGAGACTCCCAGATAGATAAAAAGAGCTCAGCCTTTTCTTCTTAAACCTCACAAGGTTGCCTTGAACCAGTACCATAGAGGCCTTCTTACACCCACTAACAAGCACAATGGCTCTCTCCTTCCCAAAAGCCAGTCAGCATTAATTTCTACTCAGAAATTTCACTATCACCATTCATCCTTCCATTGGGGTCACCATACCTCAGTCTGTACATCTCTCTCACCCACACCTGAGCTCTGCAAGAGACTTATCTCGAGAGCACCTAAGTGGGTCACAGAGTTGCCACCTATCAGATGGCCAGGAAGCTGCTCCCTCGGATCACGGCTGGGTTCCAGCAGAGCGAGGGATGCCCCAGCACATGGC